CGCGAGCCACACGCCCAATGAAGACTCCTGCAGGTGAATAATGGTGCACTTCACAGCTATCAAATCCTTCACTGCCGTCTTTGTCTTCACAGTCTTCCCTGCTTTCACTGCTTTCACCTTTTATGACACCAACGTTAACATAGATGTCCCCAGCATCATCGCAGCACACGCCCCAGGGACATACTGGTTCCCCGTCAAGTAAAGTATCGACATTGAACACCTCATCTCCCGTATAGGTAGTGCAAATCAACTTGCTCTCGGAGAAGTTTGTGAAGATCAAGCGTTCCCTAATCCCGATGGCCAAACCATCACCGACCATGTCATTTGGAATGGTTCTAATTAAGGACCCATCCAAATGGTGCAAAGAAATAATTTTTCTCATGGAGTCTGCCACTGCTGTCCGATTCTCCTTGTCCACAGTGATACCAGATAAATAAGTCTTATCGTCTGCATCGTCCGGTGATGTTGCGAACTGTCTAATGACCGATAGACTGGAGTCCAACACCTTTACATAATTTTTATCTGCGACAAGAAGAAGACCACCAGTGGTCACAGCAACAAATCCAGGGTTATTCAACTGCTCCCCACCAACATTTTGTTTATACTCCCCAGTGGAAGTAAAAACCATCAACTTCCATTTCTCCATGTCGGTTACGGCTATGTCACCATTGCTTAGACACGCGACGCCTGCAGCACATAGAAATTTCCCATCTTCTTGCCCCGTCTCACCAAACTCTACTTTCAACTGCCAGTTTTCTTCCTGAAGCACTTCGCCGATGTCTGTATCTGCCACGACATCTTGACATTTGACCCCAATGAATGAGAGATCATGCTGTGCCTGCTCAAATTCGAGTTCATCCTGGAACTCTAAGTTGTGCATCACCTTAGGTTTGAGGTCCAAAAGCTCAAAGTCGTCAGCTTGCTGCATCAAGTCGTTGACAGTCGCTACGATTTGATCGGCCCGCTCCATCTTGTCACGATTGCTTTTCTGGACTTCTTTGAACTTCCTTTCTCGTTCTTCTCCGATTTGAGTTATTTTGTCCCTGAGAAGGCGAGATTTGCTTCTGATCTTTGAGATCTCTTCTTCCTCTTTGGTGGTAACGTCTTTACAAGCCCGGGCGACTTTGATTCTCAACCTGTTCCTTGCATGTGATAGTGAATCGTCGGCGACTTTGAATTCCTCTCTGTTCTGTTCGAACCTTTGCAGAATCTCGCCGACATCCTGACGGTACGATCGAATGGCATCAGCGACTTCTCTGTATTCATGCTCAGCTCCTCGATGATCTAATACAGCACATGCCGCACACGCCAATGTCTTACATGTCTCGCAGTAAAGACATATATCCTGGTTATGGTGTTTGTTACATTTCAAATTACCTTTCTTTTGAGGACCGATCAAGGCTTCAGCGAATTTGTGTTCTTCTTTTCCAATTATCCTATGGTGTCTCATGGATTTCAAGCGCTCGTGGGCTTCAAGGCATTTTGTGCAGATAAGTTTGCAGCAGTCTAAGCACTTTGAAACGGCTTCTAAGCCCTCATCACATTCCTCACACGTTGGAACATCCGTTGGCGCGTCGCCAAGTAACCTCTCCTGTTTGTTAAATTCATCGACGAGGTTACTCAGGAAAAAGCAGTTGGGTAGACCCTGCAATCCGGTGTCTGGCACCGCAGTTACCCGCCTGCAAACTGGGCAAGGAATTTTGTCTGCCTGGGGTTGCTGACTGGTCATGAGCTTGTCTAGACAATTCAGGCAGAAACTGTGCAGACAGTCCAGTATCTTGGGATCGGTGAAACGACAGTAGCAAATCGGGCATTCGAGGTGTCCTTGACTTATCTTACCAAGCACAGATTTGGCTGCAGCTTCCGCCATCTTTCTACAACCAAAAAAGTGGAAAGACTTTCCGGTAACATAGTTGGCCAACTACTTATTATAACAATTCTGATGCACGTTGGTTGAAAAGATATTGTAAATCTGAGAAATTAGCTATTGTCACAAACCTTATACTAAGTTGTGCTGCCGTGATTTTGAATTCAGTGTGGGGAAGGGAAAAGGAGCCATTTGCCTAAGGGTAATATTCTCTGTTCTTATGGTGCACGTCTGCATTTTTGGTTGAATGGGTATTTGGGGCTATTGAAGTCCTTGGGAGGTACGATACGAAGTGTTCTAAGAGAACTGCGTGCATAGCTCCATAGAACAAAACGAGTCAAATGTGTTTGTGTTTCGTGTTCAAAACACAGCCAAACAGCGGCTGTCAGCGTACGCCTACATAATTATTATCCAACTGCTCTCATTATCAAACACCCTATTCACTCTTTGTATTTAAATGTCAATTGTGTGTGTTCACTGATATACTAAACAAATGAAGAATACTTTCTTGTACTTATGAAGTTGAATCCATCTAGCGGTATCTGCAGCTATAGAACACCCTGTTGCATCCTAATGCATACATGGTTAGTCTGCAGTTACCTAAAGTTTGCTTAGTCGCGTCTCCTGTGCTTGTTTCCAAGACAATACTATACAAGCAGCTAGTTGTATGCCCCACAGTTTAGTTTTTCTTTAAACCAAAATGTATTTAAAATGCAATTTGACAACTTCACCAGCAGTCATGTAAGCAATAGCAATTATTTTATGCACTTATAATATGGTTGAAGTTTATACCTACATATTCAACATGTATTAGTCTATATACTGTGACACCCACCTCGTATGCTCTTGTAAAAACAGTAGTTCAAGATCACCACCATTGTAGTTCTCTCGCTTTTAATTTCTTGCAAGGAGTAAACAGAAGAAAACTGTCGCTGTGTGGGGATGGAGACATCCTAAAAATGAGTGTAATGGATTCGTATTCATTGTGTAATTTACTACTCCAATTTCGCAATGTCGAGAAAAACAAGCTATTTTTGTACCACAATGCATATCGAGAGGTCCAAAGTCACAAAGATCATGCGGGATTGTTCGTATCTAGTAGTGCTGTCTCTTTTGCTACCTCTCACCTGGTACGACACGACTAGCAATGATGTCATTCTGACAACAAAAAAATTGCATTTGTGTTTTGGTTAAATGTTTCACTTTTTTTACTCTCGAAGTATTGGATTCATTTTGTGGGTTTCTTTTGCCCAGCCTCGACTTTAAAAAAATCTTTCTAAATATGAATGAATGCAACTGTTGCAAGATTATATTTTGGTGTTAAAGTTCAAAATTTGTTGGGTGTATCACGCCGCGCGGGGACAAAGTCTTCAGATCACTTTGATATTTATCGAACAGTTCTTTGCCAACCAATTCACTTGACTGCAACGCTTGTTGACACAACTGATAATGTAGATTGGGCCCCTATAACGATGGCACTGACCCATGGCTTTATACCCAATTACACATTGAACGCATTGAACGCAAAATCTATTTTGTGAGTTTAATACTATACTTGGATAACACATCCCAGCAATTTCGATGCACGTTGGTTTAATAATGATTAAGAATCCGACAAAATATTATCTAACAGTGGCTTACAAATTTAGTTTTTGGGGGGGGGGGATGGAGGACGCACTTGAGTTTATTTCACTTAGTTGTTGCCTTCACTACACTCTAAAAAAAACTTAGTCAAAATATTGACTGGTTTTCCTAGTTATTGAAAATTGACTAGGAATTTAGTTAAACATGCAAAGTTTCATACTGTGACTAGAAAAAGTAGTTGGGTTCAACTCGAAATTCAGTTATTGGCATAACTATTTTTCCCAAGTCAATGATACTGACTGGAAAAATTTAGTCAGATTGACTGATTTTCAGTTGCACCCAGCTGACCCTGAATGGCTAGTCATATTTAACTGGTTTCTAGTCAAATCTGACTAATGCTTTTTTAGAGTGTAGTACATTCTGTTTCATCGATTAAAGCAAGCGCGGTTCTGGAGCCAATATTTTAGGGGGGCTAGCAGGGGTGCATCCAGAAATTTTAGCAGGGAGGCGTGCTAAAATGTAGACCGTTTTTTTTCTTTCTCCGGACACTTAGGCGTTCGAAAATCAATAGGTGTGGGGGGGGGGATAGAGTTGGGAGGAGGTCGTACCATATTTTCCAATGGGAAACACTGATAAAACCCTACAATCGTGCACACTATATAGAGGAAAGACCGTTCGCAAGTGGCGTCACATTGTTACATTTGCTACTGCCATTTTATCATGGATTTCTTTTGGTGTCCGGGGTCCGCTCATAAGTCCGACGCCTCATAGGTCCAACGCCTCATAAGTCCAAAAATTCGGACTTATGAGTCGTCGGAGGTCCGACGCCTCATAGCTCTGTCGCCTCAAAAGTCCGAAACAACATTTGTCCAATGTCGGACTAATGAGGAGTCGGACCTATGAGGCGTCGGACTTAGGGTACTGCGTTCTCGTACTCTCTGTTTATAGTCCTACAGGTTAGTCACGCATCATTATTCAGTTGTGCTATGATTTATTGCAATTGTTATAAAGTCAGGAGTTATATGCAAGAATGAGTCCTTAACTTTATACAACTCTCTCCTTGCTCAGGTACAGGCCTACTTTAAGGCATGTACGACACTCAAAGTATCAAATATTACGGGACTTTCCTTCACTGTCAATATTACATTTTTTTTCTCTTGGAGTAGTTGACTCGGCCAACATCGATATTATATCTTACGCTTTTAAGCTTGCATTACAAATGCATAAAAAATCTCAATGATTTGGGAATAATTTGGATCCATTTGCTGGTATTTTAAGTTTTTGTTCACAGTTTTGTGAAACACCTTCTTTCTAATCGTGTATTGTGTGTGCGTTATCTTCATCATTTTTATTATTTGAGAGTGTTATAATTTGCATTGAAGAGTGTAGCTTAATAATGTGCATTCTGTGTCAGACGTTTCAAGCCCCGCGGCCCATCACGACTCGGCGAATCATTCAATATTTATTACGCGAGGGATTGATCACTGCGAACATACAGTCAAGACAGACCGATGTCCATGAGTTTTATCAGTTATGACGGGTTCTTGCACTATATCCAGCTCGCACGTACCCACTGAAAGATTTGGACAATGTAGCAACCAGCCATCACAAGGTCTCCGCTTCGCGAGAATGTCATGCCACCGCCATCTGGAAGTTCAACAGTCACCCGCCTAATAAAGACTCCTCCGGGTGAAAATTGGAGCACTTGAAAGATCCCTACACCTCCTTCGAGATCAACGACAACATAAATGTCCCCTGCATCATCGCAGCACACGCCACGAGGTTTTGCTTGTTCCCAGGCAGGTAAAATGTTGACATTGTACACTTCTTTTCCGGTACAGGTAGTGCAAATCAACTTGCTCTCCTTGTAGTTTGTGAAGATGAAGCGGTCCCTAATTCCGATTGCCAAATCGCAATTGACCATGTCATGCGGAATGGTTGAAATCAAGGACCCATCCAGATGGAGGAGAAATATCAGCTTTCTCCCTCTGTCTGCTACGGCTATGCGACTCTTCTTGTCCACAGCGATCCCCTTAAGATCACTTTCTAATATCTTGACATGCTTCTTATCAGTGACCAGAAGTAGGTCATCAGAAGTCGCAGCTACTCCCCAGGGGTCAGTCAACATTTCCCCACCACCACATGTTTTATACTTCCCAGCGGAAGTAAACATCATCAACTGATATCTATAACTGTCTGTTACGACAATGTCACCATTCCGTAGACACGCTACATCTGTTCCACCACAAAATTCTCCATCTCTCCCCCGTCCTTTAATACCAAACTTTTTTTTTAACTCCAACTTTTCTTTTTGTAGTATCTCACCGAGGTCTGTTTGTGCCACGACATCTTCACATTTGACAGCGATGAACGAGAGCTCATGCTTTGCCTGTTGCAATTCGACTTCCTCCTGGAACTCTAAGTTGTGCATCACCTTCGGTTTGAGGTCCAAAAGCTCGAAGTCGTCAGCTTGCTGCATCAAGTCGTTGACTGTCGCTACGATTAGCTCAGCCCGCTCCATCTTGTCACGGTTGCCTTTCTGGATTTCCTCGAACTTCTTACCTCGTTCGTCTCCGATTCGCGTTACTCTGTCTCTGAGTTGACGCGCTTTGTTTCTGATCTTTTCAATTTGTTCTTCTTCGTTGCAGGTTATTTCTGTGCAAGCCTGAGTAACCATACTTCTCAACCGGTTTCTCTCATGCGTCAGTGCATCGTCAGTAACTCTGAATTCCTCTCTGCTCTGTTTGAACTTTTGCAGAATGTTGCTGACATCTTTTCGGTACGATCGTATGGCATCTGCGACTTTGCTGTATTCATGTTCCGCTGTCCGGTGATCCAATGCAACACATTTCGCACACGCCAATGTCTTGCATGTTTCGCAGTAAAAACAGAGTTCTTGGTTAGTGTGCTTTTTACATTGCAGTGTATCTTTCTTCCGAAGTTCCGCAAGAGGTACCTGTGATCTACTTCGATCCAAGTTGACGATCCGATGTTTCTTAGTAGATTTCAGTTTCTGATGGGCATCAAAACATTTCTGACAGATGTCCCCGCTACAGTCTAAGCAGCTTAAGACGGCTTCTAAGCCCTCGTCACATTGCTCACATATACCAGTATCCGCTGGCGCGTCTCCTAGCAACCGCTCCTGCTTGTTGAATTCATCGACGAGGGAACTCAGGAAAAAGCAGTTGGGTAGCCCCTGCAATCCGGTGTCTGCTACCGCAGTTACCCGCCTGCAAACTGGGCAAGTAATCTCGCCTGCCTTGGGTTGCTGACTGCCGATTAGCTCTTCCAGGCAGTTCAGGCAGAAGCTGTGAAGACAGTCCAGCATCTTGGGATCGGTAAAACGACAGCAACAAATCGTGCATTCGAGGTGTCCCCGACTGATCGTACCCAGCACGGATTTGGCTCCAGCTTCCGCCATCTTTCTAGTTCTACAACCAAAAGAGTAAAAAAAAACCACATTACGGTTTCATAGTTGGGCAATGTGTTGTAACAATTCCAAAATGCATCTTTTCCTAGCATCGATCAAGGAAAAAAAAGACATCTTCTGGAGTAAGTCTAGTGCGCGAATGCTCAGAACGAAAATGGGCGTCAATGAGGGCAGCAAACAGAAATACCGGTAGCCTTTTTTGCCGACGTCACGCGACGTCTATCGTGCGCACCACACAAATCAAAGTTCTTGACCTAATGATTGTCTGGTTCCAGACCCGTCACTTTCCGTGGCTGCATGTCCCGTGCAGAGCTGGGCAGGCTGCGCTGGTTAGGCCCTGCAAGCCTAGCGTCGGTCCGGTACACCGAGTGCCAACGTCATCGCTTTTGCCATACAAAAAAAAAAAAAATACGCTCGTCATAAACATCCGTCGCAATTTGGTAACAAGTATGAAGATGCTAAATATATGATAACAAAATATGATTAAATGAAAATATAAAATATAGGGACAAAACTTTTTGAGGACAAAAAGGTCGCTCAACGTAAGATTGTGAAGTTTAAGGATTAGTGCAGGATTAATTTTGTGGAGATTTAGCAATTTTCAAAGGAAAATAGGTATTTTCCTTGTAATTTCCGGTCTGATTTTGTAATCTTTTTGTTTTTCGTGCACAGGTCTTGTCTGCATTAAGGTGATCATGTTTATTAATTTTGAAGCGATTACCGCAAACTTCGCCACAGACATCAACTGAAAATGCGTTTTGGACACTTTTTAACCTGCCGCTAGAGGGCGTTCGAACACTTCATGGCGTCACTGATCATTTTTTTTTTGAAAGATCAACCCACCCACAGGCTCACATCGTTGAAAGCAAGTTCGTATCTTTTTCCATTTTCAAATTATAAGGCACCTCCGGTTTCGACCTGAAGGGAGGGTCATGTGATTTTACACGCGCAAGATAAATTGAAGATCATGTAATATCATGTTGATTCCTGCAAAATTCAAGTTCCGGTCTCTCACCGTTGATTTCATATTGAATTTCAAAGATTAAATTGATTATTTTTTTCAAGTGACGTCACGTGACCCATGTTGACGTCATGATGACGTAATTGCAAAAAAAAAGCACATCTTCAGTGGGTTGTGCATTCATGTATTGACAATTGAAGTTCATATATGTTTTCATTTTGACAAACAGTTCTAGAAATAAATGGCGAGAATAATAATAAGAAGAAGACGAACTAGAGGTTGTAGGAACAATCACATGGTGTTGGGCCATGGATTACTGCAAACTTTGCCACACACATCAACTCAAAATGCATGTTTAAATTCATTTTTGACTTTTTCAACATGCCGCCAGAGGGCGCTCTAACATTTGATGACGTCAACTGTAATATTTGTGTACAGTACTGCCTAGGCAGACACTCACAAAGTTGAAAGCAAGTTCGCATCTTCTGTCAATTTCAAATAATATGGCACTTCCTGTTTCGACCGGAGGTAAGGGTCACATGATTTTGCACTTAATACCGGATATTACGACCCTGCAATATTGTATCGATTGCCATAAAAAACGATATCAAATCTGCAGCTGTTGATTTTACATTGATTTTCAAAGATTAAATCAAAAAATCTTTGATTGCTTGTAATATGACACTTGATGACGTCATTATGACGTCATTACCAGAAAGTTCAAGAGCTATGGTAACTGTGCCATATATAGCCAAATCTTGCTTATATCTATCACGGTTGATTTTTTAGCGATTTTTTAAGGTTTAAAGGATTTTTATTGCAGCTTCCGGTCTGATGACGTTATCAATTTCTTTTTCGCGCACAGGTCTCGTCTGCGTTAAGGTCATCATGTACATTAATTATGAAGCGAATACCGCAAACTTCGCCACAGACATGTAGTAAAAATGCGTTTTTGACGTTTTTTAACCTGCAGCTAGAGGGCGCTCCAACACTTCATGGCGTCATCGATCATCAACTGAAAATGCGTTTTGGACACTTTAATCTGCCGCTAGAGGGCTTTCGAACACTTCATGGCGTCACTGATTTTTTTTTTGGAAAGATCAGCCCACTCACGGACTAAAATAGTTGAAAGCAAGGTTCATATCTTTTTCAACTTTTAAATTATTAGGCACTTCCGGTTTCCACCGGAAGGAAGGGTCACGTGATTTCACGCGCACAAGATAATATGAAGAGCATGTATTATAATGTCAATTCCGGCAAAATTCAAGTTCCGGTCTGCAACGGTTGATTTTATATTGAATTTCAAAGATTAAATTTATTATTGAAGTGACGTCACATGACCCATGACGACGTCATGATGACGTAATTGTAACAAGCACATCTTCAGAGGGTTGTGAATTCATATATTGACAACTGAAGTTCTGGAAACGAATTTGCTGAGGAGAACTAAAACAAAAAAATAGTAAATTCTTACAATAACAATAGCTAGTTTTGGGCTCAAGGCCAAACAGCTAATAATAGTAAATTTTTACAATAACAATAGGTGTTGGGCTCAGGCCCAACACCTAATTATGAGATGTAAGTCATATTATGACTTAATCTTTTTTTTTTGTCTGTATTCTGTCCCTTTTACGCTTCCGTACGTTCATGCTATTTTTTTATTTTTGAATAATTATCCTGAGCTGATAATTCTCTAGACCCAATTGTAGACCCAATCATGGCTTTAATTCGTATCGTTCAAAGTCTGTCTGGTCCCACTTGCTTGGATTTCAAGTGAGGTCGTCATTATCGTTGATGTCTTCATCATTCAGTTCGACTGGAGTCCTGTACTCAGTTTCATTCACATTATGAACATATAGAATGGGTGGGGAAAAACCGCTTAAAATTCGAACAATTCCATTTCATATCAGGTATGACACCTACCTCATGAATTTCTGTAGCCACTAAATCACGTTCACTAGCCAGCGAGAGGTTTATGTCGCGGTCAAATTGCAAAAAATACGGTGAGAATCGAGGAAAAGCAATGTTGCTGGGTGCAGACGCAGACATCCGCATATAGTGGAATGGATTCGATTCGTACTCACTGTGCATGATGCAATGCACTCTGATAACTCATTGTCGGAAAAACCACCAGCTGTTTTCGTAGCACAGTGCAAATCGAGAGGTCAAAAGTTGAACCGATCACGCGGTGCACTGGTGCTACTATTTCCCAACGCCAGCTATAAGATTAGCAATGATTTCAGTCTGAAATTAATGTCTTTTGTATTTTTGTCAAAATAATAAGGTTAGACTGTTGATTTTTCACTAACACTTTAAGTTTCATTTTCCTGTCTAGCCTCATATTTTTTTTAACAATCTCATCAGATACGAAAAACCGGTCAAACTTTATGAATATGCATTTATGGGTTCATTCGTGCGCGTGCATACATTACGAACGAATACCCCTCTCTACTTGACGCATGAACCCGCTGTGGATAATGGCGTCATTGTGTCACCGCTACGATAGTATTGTATGATGGCTTTTAATTGACATCACAAATAACGAATATTGATGTCAATGTTCGCGTTAAAGATTTCACGTCTCGCTCTCCGGTCGCAAACATCCACGTCAATATTCGCGTAAAAAATAAAAATAACGACCTGCTCTCGCTCGCAAAGTTGTGTCACTTTTACCAGTAAGCAGGCGCGGATCAAGAGGGGGCGGGGGGGGGGGAGGTTCAACCCTCCAAGCTTTGTCAAATATTTTTTTCATGGACATTTATAACAAAATAATGCAACCTTCCTGCTCTGACACCCAAAGCAATTATACTGGTAATATTAATATACACCTGTGCACAAGATACGGACAGAGCCAGCTGGGTTACGGGGTATAGTGTTAAATATTGTTGGATTTGAACAGCGCCCTCATTGACAGTATGGTACGTACTTTCAATATTTATGGAGCATTCCTTGATTATTAATCTTACAAGTTTAGTTCTCGGAGTATTGTTTACACAAAAAATATTAGGTTTTCCTGACTGTAAATACATTTAATTATAGGTTTTCCCAGTTATTATAGGATTTCCCGCACATTTTAAAACTGCCCTCATTCAAACTCACAAACGGTTGACTTTAATGTCGTCTATAGAAGACCGAAACGCGCAAATGCTGCAATGAATTTTGTCATTGGGCATTCGGAATGATCGGTGGTCAATCAATTTCAATATTAGTACTGTACATAGATTCGAGTCTCAGAAGTCGTATTGCATCTAAGACGTTCTTTTAGACAATGAGAGCCATGAAATTTGCTTGGTAACTGTCCATGTTCGGGATCCAATGTTGAAAGTGCATTGGTCGAATACTCTATTTCTACAATGATATCGGTAGTTTTCTGTCATAGAAAATTTCTTTACATCTACCAAATAGTCTCCATCCTGCTTTGATTTTTGCGAGTATTTCATTTTAGTTGTGTCTTGCATCTTTAGGGTTTGACCAAGGTATTTGTATTCCTTTGCTTTTTTCCAGTATTTCATTCTCAATTTTGACATTGACTCGAGATTCAATATTAGACCAATGCATCGGAAGTTAATTATCCCAAACGACGCAAACTTTCTTCTATTGCCTTAAGGCCAAAACAAAACAAGTCTCCGGTTTCTGGTATGCGCGCGCGTCTCCGTAGCCATGCGCGTCGGCAAAATGAAAAAAAAAAAAATTCAATGAAAGATGATGTCTCAAAACCGGCAAACTCACTGGTTTGTCTGGAATCCTGCTGCTGCACAAGTTTAACGTGTTTTTAGATTGGGTTATGGTCGAGAATAAGCTTTATGTGGCCTCTGTGGACTCCCATATATTTGCACTAAGTTTAGTCGGGCACCATTTGCAGTCATCAGCCGACATTTGAAGCAACAAAATCAGGTAAAAAAAGAAAGAAAGAAAGCCGCGTCGCCGCACCACTTTTTGAGCAAGCTCCATACCAGAAACCGCAGACTTTTTGTTTGGGGGGGGGGCCTAATGAACATTGTTTTAGCAAGCATAAGCGTACAATGCATGA